CCCCCTTCCGATGGGAGGGCTCTGTGTGCAGTTTCTCTTTTGGCAGGATTTTCAGGTTTGGGTTTTTTCAGAGCCAGCAGTAGGAACGTTTTCCTCCCTCCAGCTCGTGTGTTTAAATTGGGCAATAGGAGGTGGCTGGGGGAAGGGGAAAGATTGATGGGGCTTCTGCGTTCCCGTGGGAGTTTCCTGGCAGGCTCCTGGGAAACTGCTGAGTCCTGCACGGATGAACCTCACCCTTATGAGAACAGTTCTGTTTTGCCACCATCACCATCATCCTGGAGCATTAGATCTTAGATATGCCCTTGAATGCCTTAGAGAACAAAACCTCCAATCCCTCTGCACCTTCTCCCGAGGTTTGGGCCTCAAACTGTGCCAGGGGAGATTCAGGTTGGACAACAGGAGGAATTTCCTCATGGAAAGGCTTGTTAGGCACTGGCAGGGGCTGCCCAGGGAGGTGGTGGAGTACCCACCCCTGGAGGTGTCCAAGGAAGGCCCGGACGTGGCACTGAGTGCTCTGGGCTTGGGGACAAGGTGGGGTCAGGCACAGGTCAAACTCCATGGTCTTGGAGGTCTTTTCCAGCCTTAATGGTTTTGGGATTCTCTCCCCAGATCCCATCCTGTTAGCTGGATGCACTCTCCCTCTCCATGCCCAATCCCCACTGCTCGACTGCTGGAGCTGCCTGTGCTCTGCATTCCCTTCTCACCCCAGCCTTGTATCTGTGATGCTTTTCCTGGCACCCTTCCCAAGTCCTCTTGCTGCCAAATCAGACTCAATATGAGCTTCTTGCACTGCCTTTCAAATCCTTCCCTATGGTGGCAAATAAACCCAGTGTCCTCCACACACACACACACACACACACACACACACACGCTCCCGATCCCATCCCTGACAGCTCTTCACTTCTGGCACTCAGCTGCTGCTTAACCATACGGATTCCTGCTCTGACTCACCTCATGTGCTCTTGTGGCCAAGAGCTTGGCTTTGATTTGGCAATGTCACGGCAGGAGCACTGGGATCTCCTCCCTCAGGATCCCATTCCCGCCTCGCATGTCCCACTGTCATCAGCACGCTCCTGTTCCTCTCTGCTCTGAGCCAGCATCGTGGCGCCTTTGGAGAGCTGGGACCATGCCCTCACCCCTGCCTTGCTGCACACCCCACCACCAGCACCCTGCACAGCCCATCACCATCCTGCACACCCCACCTCTGCCCACTCTCCCTGATTTTATCATTTTCGTGCTGCTCTGCGGAGTTTCTATTCTTTGCACCGCATGACCTGCCTGCCCTTGACTCGCAGGTAGACCCGATGTTCAGCTCCCTTCTTCGAACACCCTTCCACAGAGACTGCTCTCCCACCACGCTCCCGTCCTTGTGGCATTTGTTGAGGGGGCAGCTGAGCAAACCAAACAAACGCAGCAGATAGGAAAGGGGAACTAACCCGCTGTGCACGGAGCACCGGGAATAACCTCGGTGCCTGTCCTTCCTCTGACCCCTCCTGCCGCACGTCTGCTCCCCCCGAGCCCCCGCACACCTACGGAGCAATGAGCGCTCGAGCTCTGCTCCTCCCTAGGAAAACAGCCGGAGCAGCTTCCCAGAGGAGCTGTTTGCTCCACGCCGCTTCCCCGCGCTGCGCTTTGTGGTGAGCAAATACAAGGGCAGCCTAAGACAAGTCGGATTTCTCTTTGCCCAGGGAATGCTGCAGGTGCGGACACACCTATAACCCGGGTCAGCCCCGCTGCGCGAGGAGGGTGTTGGTGTTTATTGCCCTTTTCCCAGCTGCCCACTGGCACGGACTTTGCCCCTCCGGGTTGGGATTTCTGAGCGGTGGGAGGCTTTCCACGTGTGTTTGAGAAGGTACAAAGCCTGCCGGAAAACAATGGAAATAGCTGCCTTATGACTGCTGCGTGTCACGCACTCGCTTCTCGCCCCTTGGTTTGTCCTTGGAGCCACTTGCACCGCCTGGAACCTGATCCCGAGCGGTGCCGGGCGTTCGGGCTGGCACGCACACGGCTCCGCCGTGCCATGGGGGAGAGACGGCCGCGCTCCGGGGCCCCGAGCTGCCACGGATGTGGTGATTCTGTGTGGGCTTCCTGCTGGGAGGAAACAGCTGCTCAGAGCAGAGTGTGGTGGGAGCAGCATCTCCCATGCTCCGCTTCCCACAGGGCCCTGCCCCAGGAGCGTCCTGGCTGGCAGCAGCACGGCCCTGCCAGGCTCTCCACTCTGCCAGGACAGGGGATTCTCACCCCCATGACTGGATCTCCTCAGACCCCTGGTACAGGCTCTCATCAGACTCACGACGACTGGATCCCCTCAACCCCTTCAAGGACAGGCTCCCCCTTGGTTCCCCCAAAGGACAGGATGTTTGGTGTCAACTCTTCCCTGGACTGGACCCCTTCACCCCATTCACCCCTTTCAAGCACAGGCTCCCCTCACCACCCCCAGGACTGGATCCCCTTATCCACTCCCCCAGCACAGGCTCCTCTGGGGCCCCTCAAGCACAGAATCCCCCCCGGATCAGATCTCCTCAAGCACAGAATCCCCCCCCGGATCAGATCTCCTCAAGTCCCCCTCGCCAGGCTCCCTCTTAGCCTCTCCAAGAACTGGGCACCCCCTGGACTGGATCCCCTCAGATCCCTCCGTCCAAGCCCCCCTTCAGTCCCCCCTCAGCGGGCACAGCCGGGTGCGGGGGGCTGGGATGCAGCAGCCGCCGCTCCATCTCTCCCCCTCCATTTCCCCCCCTCTCTCCCTCCATCCCCGGCCGCTGCGTGCCTGCCGCCTGCCTCTCCCCCCCCCGCCTCCCCCGCCGCCAGCCCGCGGTGATCCGCTGATCTCACGGCCGCGCCTCACGACACCCTTCCCCGGCACGTCAGCCCCGCCATCGCGTGAGAGCGGCCGGGCGCCCCGCCCGCGCCCCCCCCCCCCGCCGCCATCACGCACGGCGGGAACAGATGCCGGGGAGGCGCTGCCGGGCCCCGCCGCGCACCCCGCGCCATCAACGGCGGGGCCTCGCCAGCTCCTATTAATGCACAGCTTAATTAATGACCCCCGCGGGGGGCGAGCCGCCCTTCACACGCACTCACAGACACACACAGACACACGCGGGCTGCCGGGGGAGCACGAAGAGGTTAACGCAGGCAGGGCAGCGGGGCAGGAGGCGGCCGCGGCTGCCAAGGCGGGGATTAGCGAGGCTCGGAGCTCGGCACGCAACGTGGGACGGGGCACGGCGGCGACACACGCGAGGGACCGCCGGGGACACGCGTGGCACGGAGCCGGGGGGGAGGCGAGCGGGGCTCCGCAGCCGCAGCACCTCCTCAGCAGTTCGCCTCTTTCCCCCCCTGAAACTCGCCATTTTCATCAATCCAGCTCCCTGCTCAGTCACAGTTTCTGCGAATCCGACCCCCCTACTCCTGCAGTTTTCCTTTTATGCCAGTGAAATTTTCCTTCCCCCCACTAAGATTCACCACTTGCTTCGAACACCCCCCCCCATTCATGCAATTCTCCTTTTTCTTCCACTAAATTCAGTTCTCTTCAACCATCTACTCATTCAATTCTCCTTATTTTCCAATAAAATTTTCCTCTGTAAAATTCACTGCTTTCTTCAGTCCAACCCCCGTTTTCCCTCTCTTTATCCCCCAACCTTACTGATGCTTCACCCCAGACAGTGAACCTTCACAGCTACGACCGAGTCGTGCATAAATCAAATCAAGGTCACCCCGTTTTTTGCCATGGCCTGTTCCCAATTTTTAGTGGGTATCTCTAAACTGTAGCGATGTATCATTTTTTTATAAGGCTTGTAGGGAATATTTTGAGCCCGTAGCGAATGAGTTGGATGTGTAGGGATTGCCTTGGACATACAGAAAATGCTTTGGGGAAAGAGGGATTGCTTTGAGGGCGTAGGAGTTGCTTTGGGGATGGAGAAATTGCTTTGAGGATGGAGAAATTGCTTTGGGCAGGCTGGAAACTTGGGGATGGAGCAGATGGTCCCTGCCGTGCCATAAAGCTGAGTCCTAACAGCAACTCGGTTGTGAAGGAAACAGGAGCCCACCAGCGATGGAAAGAAGGGAAGAATGTGGAATGAATCCCACTGCAAACTCCTGCCTCTCCTTCCCGTCTTTCCCTGATTTATTCATTTTTACGGCCGCGCTCCAGTGGATCCCGTCGGGAGCCGGCGGCGCGCAGACGGTTCATCCCAAGGTTGAGCTCGAGCCTCGGGTCTGACATACGGATGACCCGGGTGGCATGGATGAATTTGGGGTCTCAGGGCCGAATTTGGGGGCTCAGGGATGGCTGTGGGGTGTCAGGGATGGCTTTGGGGTGTCAGGGCTGGATTTGGGATGTCAGGGACTAATTTGGGGTGGCAGGGCCGCTTTGGGGTGACAGGGCTGAATTTGGGGTGTTAGGGGTGTTTTTGGAGTGGCAAGGCTGGGGTTAGGATGTCAGTGTTGAATTTGGGGGTGTCACGGAAGGCTGTGGGGTGTCATGGGTGGCTTTGGCATGTCAGGGGTGGCAGGTGGCAAGTTTGCGGTGGCAGGACCGAATTTGGCACGTCAAATTTGAGGTGTCAGGGCCGGGTACGGAGTGCCCAGGGGGTCTTTGGGGTGTCGTGACCAGCTTTGGGGTGTCCGTGCCGCATTCGGGGTGCCAGGTGTGGCTCTGGGGTGTTTGGGATGCATTTAGGGTGTCTCTCAGTGCCGCATTCGGGGTGTCAGGTGTGGCTCTGGAGTGTTTGGGATGCATTTAGGGTGTCTCTCAGTGCCGCATTCGGGGTGTCAGGTGTGGCTCTGGGGTGTTTGGGATGGATTTAGGGTGTCTCTCAGTGCCGAATTTGGGGTGCCAGGCCTCAGCCCCCCGCCCCTCACGCGCCGTGCCGCGCACGCGCCGTTGCCGCGGTGACGGGGACGCCGCGGTTGCCAAGATGGCGGCGGCGGCCGCGCCCCCCCCGCCGCGCTCCCCCCGCCCCTCACGGGTCCCCCAGCATGGCCCCCCGGCCCGGCCCGAGCCCCCCGGCCCCGGCAGCTCCCGCACGCCGCCGCGGGGCCCGCGGCAGCACACGGAGAGGCACGGCCCCCTTCACGCCCTGCCCGAGGAGATCCGCAAGGTACGAGCGGTAGAGGTGGCATAAAAAACCCCCAACGTTTGGAGGGCAGCTCCTGCGGGAATTCAGGGGTGTTTCGCTGGCCTGGGGGCACTGGTGTGGTACATGCTGGTCCTGGGTTAGGGGCGGTGTTGGGTTTCATCACTCTCTGTGCAGTGCAATGGCACCAATTCTGTGGGAGCCCTGCAGGGGAACACCTTGCTGGGCCGTGGTGGTGTCACTGCAGGTGAGGCCCAGAGAGCACCTCAGGCACTCCAGGTGAGTCTCAAAGAACACCTCTGTCACTCCAGGTGAGTCTCAGGAACACCTCAGTCACTCCAGGTGAGTTTCAAAGAACACCTCTGTCACTCTGGGTGAGTCCCAGAGAACACCTCTCTCTGTCCCAGTGTTGTCCCTCCAGGTGAGTCTCAGAGAACACCTCAATCACTCCAGGTGAGTCTCAGGAACACCTCAATCCCTCCAGGCGAGTGCCAGACAACACCTCTCTCTGTCCCAGCGTTGTCCCTCCAGGTGAGTCCCACATTTCCCCCTGTTATGGCATGTTTTGCTGCCGTGAGTTTGGAATGACTGAGAGCATAACATGTTCCGGAGGAGTATCAACACAAACGGGAACAGAACATTCCCCTTCATCTTCCCTGGGATCTGCTCTTGGTGTGTTCTTTTGTTTGGCAGACAGATTATTGCCAGTGTTACAGTGCTGCTGTCTGTGTGGGTTCATTTAGGAGGAGGCTCCACTCAAGTGGAACACGAGTCACTTCTTGTAACACTATCAGGTTTTTACTTCAGCAATAAAACACCCAGCTGTCCTCATTTCTTGGTCTGCACCTCATAATTAACAAGTCATTTAAAAGCTTTGTGTACTCAGGCTGGAGAAGTCTTCCCTGGAATAGTCCAGAAAACTCTTGAGACAATTTCTGAGATGATTTCTGAGAATTCAAAGGTGAGCAAGATGGACAATGGAAGGGAAAAGGAATATTTGCCCTTAAAACAAGGGAAGGAGAAGAACCTGGGACACTCTTGAGAGACTCACGAGCAGCTGTTTTGGTAGCAGGAAAGATCCCAATATGTTTGTTTGTTTAGAAATTAGGTTTTAAGCTTCGACAGGATAAGGTGGTGAGCAAAAGTCAGCTCAGGCTCCTCAGAGAAAGTCATGCCAGATTGTTGGAGGAGAGCACTGTTCTGGATCTGGTTACTGCTCAGTGTTTCCTTAATGACTTAAAGCTGCAGTTTGGTGGCACTTTTGCTCTGTGTGTCTGATTTGGATCAGATCCTGAGCCAGTTCCTTATCCGTGTGCCAGCCATACCCTAGCACAGGGAGGAAGCAGGAGCAGAAAAGCGGTGACATTATTTCTGTCAGCAGCAGCGTCTGTGTCTGCGGGTTATCACTGAGCCAGGATCTTGGGTTATGATGAGGAATACGCTGGTGCCAGTCTGGGAGGGGTTGGGAGCACCACTGAACTCCATATTCTCAGTAAGGATAAGATGTATTTAAAAAAAAGTGAGTCCAGTGCATCAATACAAAATCCACAGAAGCCTCCTTGTCACTTGTCAGACAACACTGAGCTCTGTAATCAGGTCACGAGGAATGAATAATATTAGCAAAGGGATGTGACAAAGAAAGAGGCTCCTAATATATGGTAATATAATAATAGTTGTAATATATAGTTGTAATATATTGATAATTGTAATATTAAGGGTTGTAATAGGAATTGCACGTGAAACTTGGGCCTTTGTTATCCCTCTCCTCAGGGCTGTTGAGGCCTCAGTTCTGAGCTGCTGTAAAAAAAATGATATGACTGATGGGAATTTAGTAAAGAGCAAAAGTAGTAAAGAGCTTAAAGATCTTGTGTTTCTGTGAAAGGGTGATGAGCTGGCTTTGCTCATCCTGCACAATACCTGAGCAACAGTGTTCACACCTGCAGGGAGGTGGGGATTCCTTTCCAGGTGCAAGTCAGGCTTTTCCTCACCTTCCTGGCTGTGCTTTGGTTGAATGCTGTGAAGCTGGAGCAGCTCACCCAGGGAGTTGTGGAATTCTTCCAGTGGGACTGTGGGGGCAAACTTTTCCCTGGGAGTAGAGGATGGGGCAGGGAGTCCTTCCAGCTCCCTCCACTCCTGGGGGTGTGGGTAACAAAAACATCTGACGGGGAGACACAGAATTTCTGGATTTGTACAAGAACAGGCTTACGGTCCTGTGCTGTCCCATCCTACCCTCCACTCCCTGTGGGATGTGTGAGCTCCAAGGCTGTGGGATCAGAGTGCTGGGGTTTTAGGTTTTACACATCCTTTGTGCTGCTCATCCCTCGCTCATCCTCTCCCGCTGTAGCTGCACTGCACTTACAAGGTACAGGCCCTGATTACAAGGCACTCTCACAATTTCCTGTCCTTGTACCTCCCATCTCTGATGTGCACATGTTCTCATTCCCTTGGCATTCCCTGCTGTTGGATTTTACAGCCCCTCTTCTGGAATCTGGGGGGTTGCTCCTAACGCAGCAGAGCTGTTGCCAGCTGTGCTTTGCTGTGCCAAAGGGAGCACATGCTCCCAACCTGCAGGCCAGGGGAACGTGTGTGTGTGTGTGGAGGGAGCCTGACAAGCACGGGGGGTTCAGCCTCACAGTGAAGAATATTCCCTTCCTGGGGGTTGGTGTGGGCTGGTTCGCTGGAGGTTGGGTTGTACTGACAGGGGAAGGAGGCAGAGCAGAGCCCTCATCATCCCTCTCCCTCGTGCTCCTGGTAGGTGGAGCTCCACAGGCTGCTTATCAAGGCTGTTTATTAAATTTTAAAGGAAGTTTTAATCTAGAGGGAAGGAGATTTCTTGGTATCTTGTCAGTGAAGTGATGGATGTGAAGGGGCTTTGGTTCTTTGTGTTCTGACCAATTTTGCCTTAGAGAATCATGTAAAAAACCGTACATGCTTTGCTCTCTTTCTCATTCCTTCTACTGCTCTCACGGCTCCTTCTCACCAGATTCACTGCGAGATGGGTGGAAAAAAAAATCAGCAGCTAAACACCCACATGCCCATTATCAAAGCTTACAGGATATTTTTTTTTTTTGTATTTACAGTTGCCTACTTCTTAGAAACTAATTGGGGCAAGATGTACATCGCTGGCTTGTAATGCCTCACTGGGATGTATTTATTGTGCCATCAACCTCGGCCTGAGAGGTGCCCAGAGCCCAGGAGGGTGTTGGTGCCTCCTTCATTCCATTGTCATGGATCTGTATTGTTGGGGAGTTCTTGCTTTGCTGTTTGATTTGATTCTTCCTCAAGACTTTCGTGTTCCACCTTGGTGGTGGAGGAATCTCTTTTATGCTTTAATTAAGGTTCTGCTGTTGTCAAGTCTGTGGAAGCTGATGGGAAGGGGCAGCTTTGAAACAGGAGACAGAACAGCCACCAGACGACCCCAAGTCCCCAAACAAAAAGTTATATTTAATCTCATATTTTATTTGGCAAATGAGTGATCTTTGCTGGCGTGAATCCTAAAATGAAGGGGGCACAGGATACCCTTCGAGATTAGGCGGGAGCTGGGGAGATGGGGCAGGGCAGGAACTCTGAGGCTGTTCCCCACGGGGACAGAACGTCCTGTGGTGGCTGGCTGGCCGCAAACACCATCTGCACCACTCGCAGCAGTGCTTACACACCACACTGCCCACGTCTGCCATGGATGGGGCACGTTATGGCATCTTGATGAGCACATTACGTTATCTGCCACTTTTCTGGCTGGCTTTGAACGGGGTTATTTGTTTTTAATGGCTCCTGGAACACGTAGTCCCAGCTGTGTCAGTAAGCTAAAGAGTCTTTCCCATCCACCGAGACTCGCTGGGTGGGAGGGAACGACGTGCTTAGGATGTGCAATATTGGTACCAGCAGGGATTTAAAGGCAGATCACTTCAATTTGTGCCCTCCAGATAAGTGTGGTAGAATGGCAGAGCCCTTTTCAGCGTCCTGTTGGCACCCTCCTTGTGATTTCCTCTGGGCACGACGTTCCCACGTTGCTCCCTTGAGGTTTTCAGCACTTGGCTATAGAATTTCTGATGTTGGTTGGTGTGTCGCTGGGATGTGAGGCTCCAGCTCTGGGAGTTTTCTGAGTGGCTGTGAGGTGCTTTGGAAACGCTGGAAAATCCTGGAATGGGTTGGGTAGGAAGGGACCTGAAAGCCCATCCAGTGCCACCCCTGCCGTGGGCAGGGACACCTTCCACCAGCCCAGGTTGCTCCAAGCTGGCCTGGGACACTCCCAGGGCTGGGGCAGCCCGGGAAGGTCTGCTGGGCTGGGGACACGTGCTGAGTGTTGGCAGGGCCTGGGTGAGTGGGAGCAGCTCCCAGCAGGGCACTCCAGCCTTTTGTGATTCATTAGTCCGATTTCCTCACAGGCAGGAAAAAACTCCAAGCTACCTGAAATCGGAGTGTTATTTCCTGCCGTGACAAACTGATTATTTCAGGGCATGTTTTGAATGAAGCCACGTTCTGGTTCCGCTCCAAGCCTATTTCTGCACTGTTCATGTGTATTCAGAGCAAGCACTGGCGGTTGTTTTTTGCAACTGTGGTTTTATGGAAGTGGAGCAAATAATTCTGTTTATAGCATGACCCAGCAGTACCAGCTGGATTGCTTTTTGGGTAGATGCTGACTGAAAACTTGGCTGAAAATACACTTTTTTCTTTTAAAAGAAGTGAAGCTTCTACCAGGACTTTAAAAAATACTTCTTTGACTAAAGCAAATATCAGTTTCGGTCAGATAGCTCATCATTTTGCATATCCAGCAGAAGACTCCTAGAAAATCAGTGGTGTGGTTTGAGTCATGATTTCTTTTTGTGCAACAGGGATTGGCTGGTTTGTCAGGAGAGGGACGTGAAAGTGGTGTGGGAGAGGAGGAGTGAAACAAAAAAGAAAGTAAATTTGGATAACAATAAAGTAGAATAAAACAACATACGGGAACAATTTAAGAGCACTCAGCTGCAGCATAATGATTTATTTTTCTTGAGTTTTATGGATTCAGCTACAAATTTGTCCCTGCAGCGTTAGGTGTGGGAGGAACACGCTGCCTGCTGCAAGCAGTCTCTTCTCCAAAAGGATTGTCCAGCCCTGGCACAGCTGCCCACAGAGTGGTGGAGTTCCCATCCCTGGAAGGGTTCCAGAGAGGTGTGGATGTGGCACTTGGGGACGTGGTCAGTGGTGGCCTTGGCAGTGCTGGGGGATGGTTGGACCATGCTCTGAGAGGGCTTTTCCAAGCCAAACAGTTCTGGGATCCACGTGCTGGATCCTGTAGTACCAAAGCCCTGCTGAGTGAGAAAGGAGCTCATTTCTCTTTGACCAGGAACTCAGCTCTTCCCTGTGGTGATTTCTGGGGGTGGGTCTGAAGTACCAGAGCAGAATCAGAGCTGCAGGGCTGACACACCCTGGAGCTGCTCCCTCAGCTTGAAACGGTATCAATTCCTGTCTCCTCACTCAAAAGGCTCAAAATGGTCCAGACCACCAATTTTTTTCCTTCTGACTTATGCTCTACAGATGGAACTGAGTCAGGCAGATGTAATTTGAGTGATTATCCCTCTTGGCTGAGCTTTCCATTGCCCTCGGTATCTAAAGAAATCTCTGTAACCATGGAGTAACAGCAGTGCTTCCAAACCCGAGTGCAGATGCTTTAAGGCATCTGGTGTAACGTGTGTCACAACTGTGGCTCAGCATCCTGGGGGCAAATATCTTCCTGCTTCGAGCACTTTGTCCTCAGTGAGTTTGTTTGTTTAATTCCTCATTGATTTTTTCTCTTCACTGCTTCCCCTCTCTGCTCAGGAAATACAGGAGCTCTTACTCAGAGCTCTGATAGTTTCCTTTTCTATTCCTTCCAAAGTGTTTTTCCCCTGATTTTTTTTTTTTCTGCCTTGAGTTAGGAAGCCCACAGTGTTTTGATCAAATGGAACCAGTGAAATACAGAATCTGAAAACATAAACCATTGGGTATTTAAAACACATTCTTAGTGGTTACTCAGCAATCAGATTATTCCAGAAAAGGTTGTTAGTAAGTGTAAGAACCAAGGAAAATTTGTTTCCTACAGACTTGTGTGTATTGCAGTGCTTGCAGGGTAATTATGAATGTACAGAGCAAGGTCCTGATGAAGGTCGAATTTCCTTCTCTGTTATTTTTTGACTGTGTAGCAAATACGTCAAAAATGCAGCGTGCTCTGGAATCCTTCCCGGTTTTCACTTCACCTGAGGAATGCGCGTGAAGGAGGACAGGACCCACTTCCAGCTGAGCCCAGGGAGATAATACTTGTTTGTTCTATGACTTCATTTATTTTGAAGTTCAACAACAAAAAAATGTAAAACTTAGGAAGGTTTAGTACTTGCACAAAGCATTTGCAGGTCAGGCCCCCGATGATTGTCAGTTGTTTTCGGTCCCAGAACCCAGTGAAATTCCTAGCACTGTTTATTTGCAGGGCAGCACAAGAGCACCATGTTCTCTCTGGGATAAGAAACCCCTCCTGTGCTCCCTAAAGCAGCTCATTTTGTCCTTTTTCAATATAGTAATTTCAGTGCTTTGGAACTTTATGGTAGTTATCCTCAATAACAGTTTCATCTTTCCAAGCACAGTTTGCAGCTGCCAGGAAAAATAAACTTGCATTTTCAACTCCTTCAGAGCAACTGTAACCAGGGGTGTCTTAAACCGGGGCAACGCTAAGAAATGGGAAAATAAAGCTTGGCCAGGGCATCAGGAAACACCATTTTTATCAAGCTATATTTAAAGTGCTAAAGATTGTTGGATCATGGGACAATGAGCCTTTAATTTATAATTTTTGAATTCTTTCCTCTAAGCCTGATTTCTTTCCACTTATCCCAGTGTCTCAAAACATCTCTATTTTTTTTTTTTCTTCTGTAAAACAAAGGATTCTTAATTTGCCTTCAGCTGTTTGCAGTTTTTCCCCTTTCTGATTTTGAGAAGTCACTGTTAGGATCCCTGCAGCAGTTGGTAACTGTGCAAGAGAAAATAACTGAAGAAAGGTTACAGTGTGTTTGAGTCTCTCAGACATCCAGTGGCTCTTCCAGCTGCCACCCAGGATCCATCTTCCCTATCTCCAAGTTTGCCAAGAGCTTTTCCTGCCTCTTGCTCCAAGGGCTGTCTCGGCTGTATCTGAGTGTCCTCTGATCTAGTCTTGGTTCTCACCATCTCCTTCCTCTCCAATGAATTTATGCTGAATTTATCCCCAAACCAGGGGCAAACCCGTCAGGTTCAGGGCTCTGTGCTGGTGAGCAGGTGCTCCATGCCCCCCGCTTCAAGATTAATGATTGATCCCTTAGAAAATTACATTTCTCAGTTAATGAACGGTCTTTCCATGAGCTGTGTGTTACGTTCTCTGTAGTTTTTAAACCAGCCATGAATATTTCATACCTACAAATGGGTTCTGTTTTCCACAGCACTGCAGTGCCATGGACACTACCTCATCCCCGTTAATCCCTTCCTCCCTGGAATTATTTGTGTACAGATTGCTGGCTTACATCACGCTGCTCACTCCCCATTTATCTTGCCTGCCTCACTCGGACACCAGTTGCCAGAAAACCACAGGAAATAACATTTCTCTGGCTCAAGCGATCACAGGTTCATTAAGGAGATAACTTCGTTAAACACAGAGTTTTATTTTCGATTAATACACCGAGCAGAGCTCAGAGGTACTTAAGAATTCCCGTGGGAATTCCCACATATTAAACTGCCAGGGTTGATACATCCTGTGAAGTTTCCAGTAAGGCAAAGCACTGCTGTGGCTTGGGCTCATTTTGCTAATGCAGAATTGTTCTTTATTATTTGTTAAAGCAATAACACCATCTAGGGAATGCAGTGGTTTAAATGGCTCACATTTACTGTTGTTATCTCGTGTCACTCAGGGGTTTTTGGTTCAGTGTGCTTCTCACAAACAGTTTGCCCATTTCCTGTCTCCCCAGATGTCCCGGGACGAGACGGTGTGTAAATACTGCGGGGTCAGCTACTTGATCCTCCACGAGTTTAAGGTGATGGAAGAGAAAGTCAAAGCCATGGAGAAGGAGGTGAAGTTTTATGAGGGAAGCGTGGAACGGGAGCAGAGGCTGCAGGCTGAGCTCCAGGCCCTGTACCGAGACCTGGAGCGCTACCGAGCTGCCAGTGAGTCCAAGTCTGAAAGGTCAGAGCTCATCATCTTCTCTGCTGACACTCCCTGCAGGTTATTGGGGACTCCCATCCCATTCGAGGCTTTTATCAGGTGCATCATGTGTGATACTCTATGCTATGATACTGTGATGCTTCACTGAAAGCATCTCTCACAGTATCCCTTGGAAGCAAGTTTAAAATTCCTTCCTGGTTTAGAAACAGCCCATACATTTAAAGTGAGAGAGGGGCCAAGAAGGCACTGGGAGGTATTTCCCCTGCACACACTCCCAAAGGGAAATTCGAAATATTTCCCCTTATCATCTTGGTAATGAAATGGTAATATGTGAAATGAAATTGCACAGTGCTGGGAGTTCCACAGCTGTGAGAGTTTGACTGATTGTCTCATAGTAACCTGTGTTGTTGCCCCCAGAAGCTCAGGGTTCACTCTCTAAAGGGCTGATCCTAAAGGAATTATGAACATTTTGGGTCCTGCTTGTGCCATCGTTCTTCAGGAGCAGGAGTCTGCAAATCCTTGCAGGTTCCAGTGTGAGGGTTCCCATTAATTCCCTTAAGAACTCCAGTAATGAATGATAGACCTCAGAGCCATGTTGGGATTTTCAGGGCACGGTGATTAGAACTTTAAGTGTGTTCTTTCAGCTCATGTTTACAGGTTTTGTATCCTTTTCTATCCTCGTACTTGGAAACCTATCATTATATTCCACTAATTGGTTACAGTGGGACTCTAAACAATTAGTATTTATAGTCCACTAAAAAAAGATAGTTTATAAAAATGCAGCTGCTCAAGTTGACAACTGATGGAATAAAGGGGGACATCAAGGCCACCAGAAACTTCTTGGTAATTTCATCTGAATCAAACTGTTTGTCAGAAGCTTTTTGTAAGAATGAGATTATAACTTTAACTACCAGCTCAGCCATTTTGGTTTTGGGGACCCCCAATGGGGGTGTCCCTTCCATGTTCACTCACACCAGGTGATCCAGAACTGGTAAATGGGCGTTTTGAGTGGGAAGGTGCTCTAGAGACTGCACTGGAATGCCTTGGAAACCTGCTATTTTTTTTTTGAGAATCACTGAAATCCTGTTAAGAATTGAATGTTGCTATGAATGGATTTACCTAGGCTTGTGTTTGCTGATCTTACCAATAACACATTGATTTTAGAGCACGAGCTCCCCCAGATTGGAACAAATTGTGTTTATGTCGTAGATCACTCTGCTCGAAATGTTTCTTGCAATATTTTTTCAATTAAACTGAACATCCTCCACCCACACCCCTCCTTCCCAATATTCAACATTTTCTTTGGTTTAACATCATGTTTTTAAACATGAGCTGTTTGCTCCTTGTCCCTTTAACGACCCTGGGTGGCAGAATTCAGTGTGTGAGCAAATGCAGTGACAGCACATTCTTCTTGGGGAGGATCATTTGCCGGAGCTAAACTTGAAATTTTCATTGAGCTGCCTTTTTGTAGTAAAGCTGGAACAGTTAATAAAAATTTTATCTCTGCACTTTTCCCCCCAGAGGCTCGACTTGATTTAAAAGCTGCTGAAATCAAGTGCAATACTTGCAGTAGGCTCCCACTCCAGCCATAAATCAACTGTTGTGCCTTGTTAAATAACTTGTCTAAATATTCCTTATCTATCCTGGGCCTCTCTCACTACCTTGTGCTGTTGGCATGAAGTCACTATTCACCATCCTCATTTCTGGGTCTGGCAGGGCTGACAAATCATTCCTCCCACAAGCCAAATATCCCCTTTTTTAAATTTTATCTCTGGGAGACCAAGGGATTTAATCTTTCATGTCAGTTCAGACTGGTTCATTTTTATATTCCTTTTAGGTTCAGGTTTTGCTGTTGTTTGTAGCTGTGGTTACCCTTGAAAGCCCCCTAGGAACAGTTACCTGTTCTTTGGGATTTGGGGAGGAGAAGGGGAGCTAACCAGTGATCAGTTCTACTTAGCTATTCAAGCCTTATTCCACGTTCAAATCAGTTTGATAGTTAATTGAGTTTAGGTAATCTCACCACATCCAAGATGAGCAATGTGAGATGCATTTAAATGCCAAAGATGTCCTCAGGTACCACATCCACAAGTTTTCTGGACACCTCCAGGGATGGGGGACACCACCAGTGCCCTGGGCGACATCTGGAATGAAAATGTTGGGTCTGAGCAGATCCTGCAGTTTCATGGAGCTCAAAATACCGTGGTGGGATTTTTTGGGGGCAGGACATTCCAGGCTCCTCTGTGCCTCCTGTCCCTGCTGGCTCCAGGGAATTGCTGGTGCTCCTCCAGTCCCACTGGCAATCACAGGGAGTACCAAGATGATTAATGGGCTTGTGAGAGACGCCCCTGAATCCCAACAAACAGGGTGATTGCTCCTGTCACTGCTTTAGGACAATGACTGTGTTTGCAACTGCTTCTTGATTTTCTCCTCTGTTCCTTTCCTGTCAGCACTGGGAGTTACCAGGTCCTCAATCCCCTCCTGCCCCTGCTGTATTCCCCAGGAAAGCAGGGATGCAGAGATGGGCTGTTAATTCTGCAGCTCAACTGCAGGCCAGAGGATGAGATCAGTGTGTTCCCACCATTCTCCCAGTGCCAGCGGTTAATGATCCATGGAGCTTTTCCTTTGTGCTAAAAAGCACCAAAATAACATGTTTATTTTGCTCCCTCCTGGTGCCAGGAGAGTGAAACTGTCCTGCCTTTTCCACCGGTCCTTTTGTGTGGGACTGACCAGAACATGCTGAAAATGTCCCTTTTGTTACAGCAGAGCTCTGCAATGGAAAGAGGAAGAAAATGTGTCTCTAATGATTTACCAGTTTCTTTCTTGAACCAAAAGACCTTCAAATATCCCATTCTAGACTAAGAATGGAAAACGAGCATCCGGTTTTCCCTGGATCCCAAAGTTTTGGGTTGTTATTGTGCAGTGCCAAATCACTGCTTTTTTCCTCATCTGCAAAAGTAGGTCTGAATTTCTGTTGCTGAAAGGGGGATGGACATTTCCTTGTTAGTGAGACAGTTCTGCTCCCAAACACAACCAAACCCTCCTGCCTCCACCCCTGGGAAGTTTGCAGGTAGTTTTGGGGAAATTTTCCTAAAAAGGTAATGTCAGAAATTTTTTTAAATTTTTAATTATTTTTGGACTGGTTTGTTTTGTTTGTTTGTTTGTGGGGTTTTGGTGTTTTTTTTGTTGTTGTTGTTATTTCAAGGATCACATTTCAGCCCAAAAACCTCCTTTTTGACTCCCAGATGTTCAGTTCTGATTTTGTCAGAGCCCTGCAGATCCAAATTTCTTTATCAGGACTAATATTTCTTAAAATTTGCGTTTTGGCGCAAACGTGCTGATCTGTATGTAACAGTAACTAATGCACTTTGATACTTTGTCTTAATTTTAATATATTTTTATTATAAATAATTCTCATTTTCTGCTGCTTTTTACGATTGAAGCTAAGGCTTCTGCCACCCTTTGGGTTTGTAAAAGATTTGTTGATCCAAATGCTATTTATTTATTTGTGACAGTGGGTCACCAGTAGGGAAGCAGATGATTTACTCTGCACGAGCAGTGAGTGCTGAAAGCTTCCAAAGGGGCTGGTTTGTGGCAGTTCCTGTCACTGGAGCTGCATTTTGGGGATGGAAGGCAGGTTTGGGATGGTTTTCTGCAGCAACCAGCTGTGCTGCAGCTGGGGCTGAGCTGCTGGGGGGGATCCTTCCTTCACCTGTACCAGCTCGTACTCCTGGAGTTCCATTCATCCCATGACAATTGTGGGAATAATTGCCGAGGTGTTGAAGGAACAGCATTCTGGCTGTGTTTGTTTGCACTGCGATAGCTGGGCCTGACAAACAAAAGGTGCTGGAATGAGGCAGTTGGGAAGGTAAATGTTTGAGGGGAAGAACACCTCGAGGTCAGTGTTTGTGGTGGTGTTTGCCGTGGCTGATCCAGCAAGGAGCTGGGAGAGGTGGGTGGCACTGTGCGATCATTGAGGTCCAACCCAAACCAGTCTGGGATTCAATTCAATTCAATTCAAAGCTGAAACAAAAGTTAGAGGTTGTTTACTAGCGCGAATGAGGCTTTCTGATTATTTTATTTACACCTCTAGAATAAAAAACCTGACGATGGAACTGAAAACCAAGCAAGAGGAGTTTAAAAATGTGAAAGCTGATTTGCAGTATTTCCAGGAGGAGAAGGAGGCTGCCTACAAACAGTCCCAGGTGCTCAGGTGAGAACCCCAAACCAAATGCTGGTGTTGGAAATACTCTGTTTCTTACATATATATTGTTTATAAAGACTCACCACAGGCATGGCCATAGTCATTTAAACGTGATTACTGTGATTTCTCAATAAAAAACGATTGTCCCATTACCTGTCTGTTTTTATACATAAAAACTCTAAATCAACATTTAGAAGGGCGAAACCTATAAATATATATTCAATACCCAATACAACATATTTCATACACTCATATAGCATATATTATCATTTAACAGAAGAGTAGTTGTCAAGTGTCCTCGAAGTCCTAAGTTTACTGTATAAATTATTTTTAAAATACACCCCTGGTATTGTTTTCTCTGTTGCAGAAGTACCTTGGAACACCACTGCTCAACTCTGAACAAGGCTGTGTCCCTGTTCCCTTTCATCAGGAGTGAGCTGGACAGCATTAAAGAGGTCATCTCCACCAACCTGGAGAACTGGGCTGCCATGAAAGAGGAAATTTCTCTGCAGATAAAAACCGTGAGCAAGGAAGCTCTGACAGGTAAAGCATCTCACAAGAATTTGGGGCAGGAGAAAATAATTTTTGGTAGTTGAGTGCAAATGAGAAGGTACAAATTAATGAGATGAAGAACTTACATCCTTTATATTTTCATGAATCATGACAACAGTCAAGTTAGATCAGGCCTAACTCCACTGTCAAGGCAGTCATTACACGTTTTATGTGCTGCCCACATGCAAATTTTAAACATCTTCTGTGGTGCAAATATTTTCATTGTCTATAATTTTTCCCAACTACTCCACACCTAAATCCATTTATTGTGAGACTACATGATGTAAATACCAAAAGATTTGATTTCTTGCACTGTTTCCTACTTGCCATTCATTAACCAAGGCTAATTAAAGTACACATATAAGGGCTTTTAGAAGCTGTTTTCAAACTAACCAAGCAAAACTGGTCTAAAGAGCAGCCCCTCTGTAGCATTTTTCATCCCAAAATCTGAATGTTCTGAAAAGCTTGTTGCAAAAACAGTAAAATAAACAAAAAAAATTACTGTGTGTTAATATCATCTGTTAGTCATGAACAACTGATGCAACAGAACATAAAAGCTTTAAAATGGCATTCACAGGCCAAAAGTAAATATGTGGGACTGAAGTGTTTTGGTTTAGAAAGCTGGATTTAAGGGTGGATGTGATGTTCACAGTCACAGTGTTCACCAGGCTCAAGTGGGATATGTTGGATGAGGGGTGTGGGTGCAGGAAAGGCTCCACTCCTGCTTCCATCCAGGAACTCAGGATATTTGGAGTGTTACACAAATAAAACAGGCAGCCCTCCAGAAAGGAAGCCTGGAAATGTGTGGAGCTCTGTGAGCCCACAGATATCTGCAGGAACACCTTCTCATTCCCTTTGTCAGCAGGAGCAGGCGGGGAATGAGCCCAGGAAGAGAGGGATCCTCAGGACACACCATCCTTCCTGTGCTGGGAGGAGGCGGATCAGGAATCCACTCGTGTCACATTGACACTGGCATTCGTGCTGATTGTTCTTACAGACAGGGAATGCTAAGGAGGGGCTTTCTGGTCACGCTCATCTCCAGCAGGGAGATGATCTGGGGCTCAGGACCCCCCAACTCTCCCTGGGGGGCTCAGGACCCCTCAGCTCTGCCGGTGCTGCTCAGTGGGTTCGTGCCTACTCTCCCCCAGGCACAGCTGCCCCCTGATTCCTTCCCAGTGGGAACAAAGCCATCATTGAAAGCATCCGAATTCCCTGCCCGTGTCCCAGGAAGCACAGGCTGCTGGGCAGCTGGGATGTCAGAGAAAGCCCCGTTTTCTGAGCTGCTCCACACAACGCAGGTTTCACTCAAGCTGTGGGTTTGCACTGCAGTTCTCAGGGGCAGAGCGATGTGGGAGGGGCACATCACCCACCCTGCCCTTACATCCCCCCTTCCCAAGGATGGGAAGCGTGAGGGAAAGGATGACATCGGCTCACCTACTTCTGTGGACCTTAGAACCCTGATCAGACTGACCCCCAGAGCTCAGGGAGTTTGGACAAGGCTCTCAGGCACACGGTGGGGTTGGTGGGGTGTCCTGTGCAGGGCCAGGAGTTGGACTTATCCTTGCAGGTCCCTTCCAGCTCAGGATATTCTGTAATAGTGTGACACAACAGCTCGTCCACCCATACACACTGAGGAACTGGAAGGGAAGGAATTCACCTGTGAGTATTATTTCCACAGGCCTTTAAAGTTGTATCAGTCAGCACAGGGCCTGTTTGGTGCTCTGGGTGTTCCAGGCTCTAATCACACCAACTACAGACTCTTTCCAGCAAAACCAGTCTCGACTGAGGCAGAGCACAAACTCCAGGGATCAGTCTGAGTTCCCAGCCTGGGGGCTGGGCACGACCCTTCTCAAACAACCCTTGATTGTGCCCAGCTCTCTGCTCCTGAAGGACACCCTTGTTCCAGCAGGAAGCAGGCTGTGGCCAAGGGAGTTATTCCCAGCCCGTGGGCTGCTCTGTGCCCCTTCAGTCCCAAAGACCCCTGAGATAAAACCAGCTGGATTTGGGGATGGTTTGTTCCTACTCAGACACGGGAGGAGGGAGCAGTTGCTGCGTGGTGGGGGTTGGTTTGCTCGTGAATTCCAGGTGACCTGAGGAGTAAAGCAGTGGGTTGGCCAAGGGAAGGGGTGCAGCCTGTCCACACATTTGGGAGGCAGCACTGCAGGACCCTTCAGCAGCTCCCAAAAGGGTGTTATACCATCACCCTACAGTGTTCTGGGTGTAAAACAGGGAGAAAAACTGGCAGTAGGAGACACAAGTCACAGCCATACACTCAGAGTAAGTACATTATTGGTGTTTCAAATGTTGGTAAGTATTTATATCACTTGTACAAGAGCTGCAGCATAATTGTTTAAGAAATAATGATGTTCCCAGGGCTGGAGCCAGGCTGGGGGTGGGACAGGACGGGCTTTGAGGTCCCTGCCAACCCAAACCATTCCATGATTCCGTGAATACTGAAGTCTTGCCGTCATAAAACAGGTGTCATATTTTTAGTGGAGAAGCTAAATTTGACCACAGCTTTTACAATGTTTTTTTTCCTCCTCCTCAGAAATACCCAAATTGAATCAAAGACTGGCGAAATCCCAGAGGGAGAACGAGTGTCTGCAGGAGAAGGTCAAACACCTGACAGGGGTGGCTGACACGGTGGAGCTGAAAACCCAACAGCTCCAAACTTCCCTCCAGCAAGGGAATGAACTCCAGAGCAGGTGCCGGGAACTGCAGAAGGAGACACTGGGTAAGGGAATTTTGACATTTCCAGCAGAATTCCAAGGGGAAAAAATGGAAAAAAAAAAAAAAAAGTCTTAAAAAACATGTGGCTGTTACTGTGAAAAGATTGAACAGGACTGAGCAGGACTTTTGGCTCTCAGAACTGAACAGCAGGTAAGGCCAAGCCAGGCTCCTTTAGAGTCATTAAACAGGAGACTCTCTAATGATTTGCCCTTGATTGTGTGTCCTCTTGAAAACTGCAAGAACAGTGACAGCACTTGAAATTATAATAATATAAATTCTACTGTCTTGGGAGCTCTACAGAGACAGTAACTCGTTAAAGAAGATGATTTATGTTGGTATCTCCTGAGTCATTTTCTCTTGCATTCACAGCACTGGCTCGGGGATATTTTAAGACCTTGGAAACACGTCTAGAGGTTGTGGTGTTCTGGGCACAGCTTTGAGTCATCACGCTGGCACTGCAGTCAGCAGCCTGCCTTCTGCTGGGAGGGTGAGGTCAGGTTTAAGGCAGGGGGCTCAGGGGTGGGCTCAGGGGAGGAATCACTGCTCCTTCAGTGCCTTCAGCTCTCAGGTGTGACACTGCAGGGACCGGCCAGGCAGCCAGGGAGGTGCAGCTTTGGGCAGAGATGACAGCAGGGCACGGAGTGTTGGACCAGCAGGTGCAGAGAGAAATCAAAGGAGCCTGTCCCTGCTGCCCCTGGCCCAGCCCCAGGGGACTCAGGATCACACAGGGGCTGTGGGGTTGGTTCCTCAGGATCACACGGGGGCTGTGGGGTTGATTCCTCAGGAACACACAGGGGCTGTGGGGTTGGTTCCTCAGGATCACACGGGGGGATCACACGGGGGCTGTGGGGTTGGTTCCTCAGGATCACA